TAAGTTGAAATACTGTTGATATACACATGTATTGATAAACCATACATTGCTACATTGGTACATCCATACATTGTTACATAGCTTTGCTGATTTGTTTTTGACACACTGAAATGTTGGTATATTAATAACTTGATATGTTGTGACAGTTACATATGATGTATACTTACGTATAGATTGTGGCAATCCCTCCCTTTGGCTCTTTCAGCAACGGATGGCCCAGTGATGGTCCGAAGTCAAGTGTTGCCCTTGGAGTTGAGGCCAACTCTCTGTGCAATGTCTCTTGGCCTGTGGTACCACATACATATCACTAGATTCGCTGGCCTGATGGTGCGACGTCTGCCAGGCTACCGATATCTATGGTTCCTGACTCCAGCTATGTGCTTTTCTATGCGTTGACCCAAGTTTTGTTGGCTTGTCATGTGTCCCGCGTCTGCGTGCATTCTTTGGCTTCAACTGCAGCATCGCAGGTGCAGAGTGCACCGGGAGAACACAAGTTTAAAGGTAGAGGAGTGGGCCATCGCTCCACAGGAATATCGCACCAACTTCAAATGTTAAGTGCTTGGTGGTCCTGGATCGGGACCTGACTCCGCAAAAGAGATTGTTATATCGTTTGCACTAAAGAGCGCTGAACCTCAGAGAGAACCAGGAAACGCCTTAGAAATCTGAGCCAGCCACATATGTAACATGTACTTTTTTGTTCCTTCGGGCAATTCAAGCAATCCTCGAAGCGAAACCATGACATCAAAGCAGGTGCCCCCAGTGGGTTGCTTCCCCTCGCATGGCGATATGGAGCTGCCTGCTGCTGGGGCTTTTCTTGGCTTCCCGAGGCGGGGTTGCGAGTGGTTTCTGGACAGTGGTTTCGGTGTGTAGACTCCAAACACGTGGTACGCATCAACCATCACAGTCACAGGGCTCCTTAAAAGATACATTTTGCCAATTTGAAACATGGCTTTTGCAACCAAATAAAGATTTACAAGGCAATGTTCAGGTGTATAATGTAAGGATCCCTGCATCATCTCAAGGGAACAGACTAATGTACGAAGAGTAGACGTGTCAGAAATAATATGGACTTGAGCACCGCTCCGCGGCTCTTTGTGTCATGGAAAGAAGCAGGACATTTATTTGGGGCTCCTGCGTACCAGCCTTCACCGCATCTCGAGCAAACTGTTCCGGAAGAATCTGTCTGAGTTTCTAGTTGTCTCCCGCCCCAACCTCGGAAGGGCCGCATTGCTGGTGTCACGGATGTCACGGATGTGATGCCTGTGTCTTTTTGTAGTTTGGGGCAGTTTTTTTTTGTTGCTCTTTTCTTTTTCTTTTTCTTTTTCTTTTTCATTTTCTTTTTTTTTCGTCTCCCCCCCCCCTTCGCAGGTGTGCCTTCTTCACAAGGGTGGCAAAGCTGATCCCAGTTTTGCCGTCATGTTCCAACAGAGGGCCTTGAATTGAGTTGCTATCTCAAAGAAATATCAAGGGAGTTCTCAGACCAATCTGCCCTCATTAATTTTTAGATCTCCATCTCCCTGCCTCTCTTTCTTCTTCACTTTTTCTCTCTCTGTCTCTCTCACACTCGTGGATTGTCCTTCTTTCTTTCTTTCTTTCTTCCTTTCTTTCTGTCTTTCTTTCTTTCTTCCTTTCTTTCTTTCTTTCTTTCTTTCTTTCTTTCTTTCTTTCTTTCTTTCTTTCTTTCTTTCTTTCTCTCTCTTTCTCTCTCTCTCTCTCTCTTTCTCTCTTTCTCTCTTTCTTTCTTTTTCTGTCTCTATCTCTCCACTCTTTCACGCTCTTCTCCCTCTTCTCTCCCTCCCCCTCCCTCCTAGATTGAACAACCCTTGAGAGGCGCTGCGGTTTTGCCAAACCTTGGCAAGTCCTCGCAACCTCTACCGCTCCAGGGGACGAGCAGGACCAGCTCCAGTGCATCAGCCTGGATCAATATCCCGGCAACTGCCCGCCGAACCTCATGACAGGGGCCTGCTACAGCTCCTTAGGTCCCAAAGTGAGGCTGAGAGAGACAGAGAAGGGCAAGGGATTGTATTTCTGTTCCCCAAGCTGGAGAATGTTCCCAAAGGTTCAGAGTGTGCGTGTGTGTGTGTGTGTGTGTGTGTGTGTGTGTGTGTGTTTGTGGTTGAGAGGTATTTGACTCTTCGACATTTGTTGCCCCCTTCTGTTCTAGTTGCTGATTCGCGGATCCAGCTCCTGGCTGCAGACATGCTTCAGCTTTTTTTTTCTCCATGTTGCAGCATGTGCCCAGGGATGAAACTTATGGCTTGGCAGAATTTTACTTGTGACTCAGAAGGGAGCGCAGCGTGCTGTCGTTGCGGCTCAGGAGCTCTTGAACCTTTCCTCGCACTGAGTTTCAAATTAGGCTAGAATTCTTTTGTTGCCTGGTGCCGCAAAAAACATGCTGGCCAAATACCTGTCAAGTGCGTGGGAGTGAACCCATAGAACCTGCGAGCGGGAGACCACTTCTCATACTGTTTCAACGAATGCGGCAGACTCGCAAGTAAACAGAGGCCAGGCACCATGTCGTGCTCGGCTTCTACTGCAAACTGGCATCTGTGACAGGGGATTTGTCCGAATCCTCAAGGAGCACTGATGCTGGTAAGGCTGGTGATGCTGGTGATGGGTGCTTTGCTAGCATTTGCTGGCGATGCTGGTGATGGGTGCTTGATGCTGGCATTGCTGGCATTGCTGGCATTGCTGGTGATGGATGCTGCTTGATGCTGCTGGTGATGGGTGCTGCTTGCTGGAATTATGACGATGCTGGCGATGCTGGTGATGCTGGACGTGCCGGTGATGCTGGTCGGGCAATCCTGGTGATGCGTGTGATGATGGGCTGGTGATGCTGATGCTGGTGATGGGTGGGTAAGCACGACTGGTGATGCTGGTGATGCTGATGGTGGCTGATTTTGTGATGCTGGTGATGCCGGCAATGCTGGCGATGCGGGTGTTTGCGGCCTGTTATTCTTGTGTCTTTAAGTATGATGACGTCTTCGCATCTGTGGGATTTGTCAACGTGATTGAAGACCAATTTCTCTTTCCCGCAAGATGAAACTTCCTCTCCATGACTCCTCAAAACCGTGTGGCGTTCGTGTTGCAGATGCGGTTTGGGCAAAGTGCCTCCAGACAGGTTTGCTTCGACACCGAGGCCCCCAAACTCAGCTGTTCTGGACGCCACATCGCACTCGCCGAGGCTCCCGAGAAGGGGTGACCTGGGCTTGTCTGCCCGACGGCCTCTCGGGGGCCCCCAACTGCGGTGGCATGGCGCTGCCTGCGGATGAGGCTTCCGACGCGACGTGTGTTTGGCCGATGGCACATCTATTTCATTTTGACAGCGCCCAAGCTGAATCTGCCTTTGTTTTGACCAACCCCGAGCAAAAACGTTCTCTTCGGTGCCGGCGATTGTTCAATCCACCAAGTTTGTCCCAAGCCAACACGCCAAATTCGAGCGACTCTCAGTTTCCCTAGAGGAAGTGCACTTGTCTAAAGTATTGTATGTCTCAAACAGAGTCTTTGGAACAGTTTCAGGATTGCCACATTCCGCGTTGACAGAGATGCAGGAGGATTTGAATACTCAACAATAAATAAGTAAATAACTAAATAAATAAATAAATAAATAAATAAATAAATAAATAAATAAATGAATATATATATATATATATGGTACCCCCCCCCCCCCCCAGGAACCTACCTTTTTGAGGATTTCGCTGGTATTTGCAGTGTTTTCTACCCTTTTTTGGGCTTTGGGGAGAGCAATGAAAAAGAAGCATTTCCAAGGACGTTCTGGAAGCTTCAGGCTTGAATTAAACCAAATTAAGCCGATTTAATTTAAATCGGGCATGGATTCAAGATTCAAGATTCAAGAATCCAGGCCAAACTTTTCCAGGGAATCTTCAATCCAGGCCTCGATTTAAATCGGTTTAAACCGATTTAACTTAAATCGGGCATGGATTCAAGATTCAAGATTCAAGACTCCCTGGAAAAGCTTGGCCTGAATTCTTGAATCTTGAATCCATGCCCGATTTAAGTTAGATCGGTTTAAATCGGTGTAAATCGAGGCCTGGATTGAAGATTCCCTGGAAACGTTTGGCCTGGATTCTTGAATCTTGAATCTTGAATCCATGCCCGCTTTAATCTTAAATCGGTTTAAATCGGTTTAAATCGAGACCCAAATTCAACATTACACTTTGCGCGGCTGTACTTTGGCACAGTGTTGTGCAAGCATCCAAGTCCTGATTATTCAATCTCTTTCAATCTAGGCCCACATTCAAGATTGTAGGCCAAAGTTTCTTATTTCATCTTGAACCCAGGCTCAACTGAAATGTCAGTCGGTTTCATCACTCTCAGAACTAGAGTTAGATGGCCTAGTCCTAGTTTGGTCCTAGTCCTAGTTGGGAGATCCTTGGTTCTAGGCCTAGTATGGTCCTAGCTTACTGAAATAGATAGAACGTATAAAAGACATGACAAAGGAAGTTCCTTATGAATTGTAGTTAATATATTAATCAAGTTCTATGCAACTGCTAGCTGAACAGTAGAACTTAAGATAAGGAACATATCCAGTCATAATTTACATGTTCAGTTGGAATATAACATGTTGGTTATTCTGTTTCAAACCAACTATTAAACTGGGCTTTCTTTCCACAAGAATGTAATACTTGGCATCCAAATATTATAATAAGTAGAATTAAATGGTCTAGTCCTAGTTTGGTCCTAGATGAGAGATCCTTGGTTCTAGTGTTAGGTTGCTCCCTAGTTTACTGCAATAATTAGAAAGTATACAGGACATTACAGAGGAAGTTATGCTTGAAGTTCAATTTTAGTAAGAATCTGAGGGGGGTCGTCTAGTCCTAGTTTGGTCCTAGTCCCAGTTGAGAGATCCTGGGTTCTAGTCTCATTTGGTCCTGGTCCCAGTTGAGAGATAGTTCCTCCCAGTCCTAGATGGGCAAATCATGCACTGGAGAGGCAACCAAAAGGTAGGTCCTGGGGGGGGGGGGTAGCATATATATATATATATACACATACATGTAAAGGTTAATCTCTCTCTCTCTCTCTCTATCTCTCTCTTTTTCTCTATCTCTCACTCTCTTCATATACACATGTATATATATATATATATGTATGCAACCAACCACATTCTTTGCTCTCTTCCCGTCTCCCTCTTTTTCTGCAGAGCCATCACCTGCCTTGCGTGTTCAGGAGGGCTTCTACAATGGGTACTGCAGCTTCTATGAGCCACCAGTCTGCGCTTCAGCTGTTCCGCATGCAGACTGGTGGATTTCAATATGTGGGGGTGGCCTATTTTGGGGCTGACCAGTTTTTGGGGTATCCTATTTTGGGGTGTCCTTGTTGAGCTGACGACTTCGTCTTTTTTGTGGGGTCTCCTATTCTGAGAACCCAAATGGGGGCGGGGTCCCGGGATTGGCGCTGGATCCGAGCCGGGAAGGCGTGGGCTGCGGCCAAGTAGCTTTTACCACTCACTTTTCGGCTTGCGTCCTGCGAGCCTACCTATATATAGATATATGTTCCCCCCCCACCAACGCACCAAACCAGAGTCCATGGGGAGGGGGGGGTACCATATATATATATATATATACCCTGGGCTTCCCTCGTCTCCGTTATACACAGTCGTCCTCTCCTCACATATTTGACTCTCTTTTGTCGTCTACGCACATGTTTTTGCACCGGCTACTTTTAGCAGGACATTCATCATTTTCGGACCTTTTCACGTTTTGTTGCGCAATGATGGTTAGATCCATGGTGGTCACCAAGATGCAAGCACAAAGGGTCCTTACGAACTTAGATGTTGATCCAAGGCCATGTGGTTATTTGTCTCCGTTATTCTGGATCGACCCCTCTATACACCGTCGCCTTTTTTTTTCTTAGCATCGCCGCGATTTTTCCATGGTCAGGACTTCGGTCATTTTTGGGGTCAAGCGGATGGTTTGGGTCTCGCTTGAAACTAAAGAGCGCGCAAGAAACCGTCATGAAGTCACTCTTAGCCCTGTTTAGCACCCAAATTATCCGATATCTCCATTATATGGGTTTAAACTTTTCCTACACCCTCGCACTTTTCAGTTTTGTTGCAGTTGGGTGCTTAGCGCACCCTGGCAAACCCTCACTTTGTGATGCCCTGATCTCGCTTGAAAGCAAAGGTCCTGTGCAGGATGGTGGCCACTGTTCAACATCTACTCTGCTCCATACCGCTTTTGAACCTCATGTTTTGTAATGTGGCCCTGCCTCACAATTTTCTTGGCCGGTTTCAGGTGCAAAGGCGACCTCCGGAGCATGCACTTTCATAGCGTTGCTATGAGAGCCCGCGGGCCCGCGGGCCTGCAGGCATTCTCGCAGAAACCACATACCTGGACCTGCTGAAGGTACACTTTTTTGCCGATTGGTGTTTGAGCTCATTTTTTTCGCCGATTCAGAGAAATGACGCCAATTCAAGCAAATACTTCCGATTCAAGCAAAAAACGCCGATTGGGACATCATAGCTGCTCAGCCCAAGCGCGTTTGCACTGCACATTCACGGCTCTTGGCCTGTGTGCTCGCTCAATGTCTAGACTCTGCACTGCGCACGCCTACCGTGTAACACAATATTGTTTGCCATACTTGGGCCACGCTAGGGGCCCCATGTTTGATAAAGCTGACTCGAAGCGCTTGAGTACCGACCGCACAATTGGTTAAATGCACGCCTGGAATGCACCTGCAGCCGCAGGGGGCCATAGAAGCAGCAGAATCCACTGCATACACGGCACCATGGCAAAAGCAGCAGCAAAACATTATGCAGAGTGCATGCATGCAGCGCCACTAGGAATATTCGCCTCGGAACCCATACCCCTTCTTGTACATGCAGCGCAAAACTATAAAATGCTGCAGTTGGGGCCCAGTTCAAGCCGAGAGCCCGGCCCTGCACTATCACTCATGATGTAAAGTCCATTGCACAAGCTCCATGTCCAAAGAAGCCTTTACTTGGGCATATCTTGCCTTGCAGCTCGTGGGCGGAACATCGCTCTTTGCTGCATGGTTTTACTTGGATTCCCAAATCAGAAATCTTGCCTTATCAGATAAGGCCCGTCCTCAAAAGCGGGCACGGACGTCTTCAATTATGGGTCCGGAGCAGATCGCTGACTGGCCGGCAAAGATCGCCGACTGGCTGGAAACGATCGGCAACTGGCCGGTAACAATTGCCGAATCCTTGTTTGCTCTTTCGTTGCTTGGGTGCCCGCCTGTAAATTTTCAGAATATGCAAGCGAGCTTTGCACCCTCGATTTCTGCGTTTCCTGAAGGTGGCACGCAGCGCTTCGGGCTCAGGCTTCGCTGTGAAGTCTACATGGAAGCGGGCCATGAGATCCAATATTTCCGCGACCGACTTTTTGTTGATCAACAAACCCATCAAAACCCTGGGTTTTATAAGCAGCCAACGACATTTATTGCAAAGAAGGTCGGTTCACACAGGATGTTCAACAGGCAAAAGCGAAAATGGCTTCTTACTTGAAGATTAGTGAAGCATCGCGTGGTTTTTGTCAGGCAAGGTGAAATCCCAGCAATGCCAGCAGCCAATTGTGCCTGCCTGGCCGGTCGAACCCTGTCCGATGCTTGTCGTGCATGCTGCGTAGCGCTCTCTTGAAGCTGAGAGTATCTCCTTATTGGGGAGTGTGTTGCGCAAAAAAAATGTGGCACGAGGCAACATGGAGTGCAAACATGTACTGTGGCACTTGGCGCTCTTTTGCGGAACAAGAGGCTGCCTGACGCGAGCTATAAGTCCAACGCAAATTCAGGAAAGTGCCCACAAAGAGCGAATTGAAAGCAGCGGTGCCAAAAGCCACACAGTTTGATGACACGTTGCAAGCAACAAAAATGCCGCTCGCCCTCAAACTCAATCGATTCACAAAAAACACACATGTCTTTAGTGAAACAGCCACACATTGCCCCCCCCCCCCACCCCGAAATCTCCGGGTATCATGAAGCTGTGCGCAAGCCTCAAAGGCGTCAGTCGCCTGACGATTCTCACCGGCCCAAGGTCATACACCTGCCTCCTTTTCCCATTTGTAGGTGGCGCCGTCGGGGGCGCACTCACTTAGTTCAACGCAGAAAAATGTGTTTTTGTAGATTCCGTGATTTCACGGACAATTGGCGTAATTTCACGGACAATTGGCGCGATTTCACGGACAATTGGCGTGATTTCACGGACAATGCCCCCGCCGAAAAAAGTATCACATTACCCCCTCCGCCTCCCCCCTCCCCCTTCCTCCCCTACATTTCCCACACCAGCCTGTTTGAAGTCATTTTGAGGGCCTGTACGCACACCATGTCAAACTTCAAGTCAAACGCGTTTGGCAAGGCAAAATTGATATGGAAAGGCTCTTGAGCTTGGCGCTTGCTTTGCGAAAGGCCCTGTTCTCGCTACATTGTCTAGCCACCTAGTCTGCTAGCTGGAAAGCACAATCCAAATTATTGTTCGCTCATGAACCCATCGATCAGCTAACACTTTTAGCACCTGTTCGGCATGCCGGTTTCATACTCACGCTACTTGGCCCAAGAACAGGTGATTGGTTGATCTATTTTGGCACCAGCATCCAATACTGGTTGCGAAACCAGCTGCACAAAACCAGTCAACATACATTTGCACCCTTGCCCCCTCCATACTGTCAACAAGCCTTTGCCCTTTTCGTACACCTGGAGATTTCGGCGGGAGGGTCAAATTTTGGCTGTTTCATTTTGTGAATCGACAGAGTTCGAGGGCGAGCGGCATTTTGATTGCTTGCCAAAGTGTCATCGAACTTTGGCTTTTGGCACCGCTGCTTTCAATTCGCTCTTTGTGGGCACTTTTCCTGAATTTGCGTTGGACTTATAGCTCGCGTCAGGCAGCCACTTGCTCCGCAAAAGAGCGCCAAGTGTCACAGTACATGTTTGCAATCCATGTTGCCTCGTGTCACAAAATATTTTGCGCAACACACTCCCCAATAAGGAGATACTCTCAGCTTCAAGAGAGCGCTACGCAGCATGCATGACAAGCATCGGACAGGGTTCGATCGGCCAGGCAGGCACAATTGGCTGCTGGCATTGCTGGGAATTCAATTTGCCTGACAAAGACATTCAAAGACCATGCGATGCTTCACTAATCTTCAAGTACAGTAAGACGCCATTTTCGCTTTTGCCTGTTGAACATCCTGTGTGAACCGACCTTCTTTGCAGTAAATGTCGTTGGCTGCTTATAAAACCCAGGGTTTTGATGGATGTGTTGATCAATAACTTGTTGGTCGCGGAAATACTGGATCTCAAGGCACGCTTCCAATTATAAACTTCACAGCAGAGTCTGAGCCCGAAGCACTGCATGCCACCTTCAGAAAACGCAGAAATCGAGGGCTGCAAAGCTCGCTTGCATATTCTGAAAATTTACAGGCGGGCATCCAAACAAAAGCAACGGAAAAAGCAAAAACCGAATCGGCATTTTTTACCGGCCAGCCGCCGATCGTTTCCAGCCAGTCGGCGGTCTTTTCCGGCCAATCAGCGATCTGTTCCGGACCCATATTTGAAGGCGTCGGTGCCCGCTTTTTGAGGATGGGCCTTATCTGATATGTCAAGGTTTCTGATTTGGGAATCTAATATAAGTTAAACCATGCAGCAAAGAACGATGTTCCGCCCACGAGCTGCAAGGCATCTTTGGACATGGAGCTTGTGCAATGGACTTTACATCATGAGTGATAGTGCAAGGCAGGGCTCACGGCTTGAACTGGGCCCCAACCGCAGCATTTTATAGTTTTGCGCTGGATGTATGTTGCATAATGGTTTATTGCTGCCTTTGACATGGTGCCCTGTTTGCATGATATGGTGAACTGCCACTGCGTCTATGGCCCCCTGCAGCTGCAGGGTTTGCATTCCAGGCGTGCATTTAACTAATTGTGCGGTCGATGCTCAAGCGCCTCGAGTCAGCTTTGTCGAACATGGGGCCCCTAGCGTGGCCCAAGTATGGCAAACAATATTGTGTTACACGGTAGGTGTGCGCTGCAGAGTCTAGACATTGAGAGAGCACACGGCCCAAGAGCCGTGAATATGCAACACAAATTCGCCTGGGCTGAGCAGCTATGATTTCCCCATCGGCGTTTTTTGCTTGAATTTGCAGTATTTGCTTGAATTGGCGTCATTTCTCTGAATCAGCGAAACAATGAGCTCAAAAACCAATCGGCAAAAGAACTGTACCTTCGGAAGGTCTAAGTATGCGTATTCCTGGATGGATGGAATTTATGGGGCGTGTGTTGCATATGTAATATATAATATACATTAATATACTGATTCCTTTCAAAACATGTGATGTTCCACATGTGCATCCCCACTATTCCCCACTGGGTCCATCCCCGATTCCCAAAAGGAGCTAGTGAAGCCCATCACCTGCGTATAAATATGCACCCTCGCCCTCTCCACACACCCTCACCCCTATAGTCTGCAAAGTTAATGGACGCCCTGGGAAGGGCTAGAGTTGATCCAATTCGACTGCTCCATAATCGATTTAGATGTTGACCCAATTACAATATTCCAAGGTCTAGTGTTGCAAAGCACCCGTGGTCCTGCAATCACCTTAGCTAAGTTTCAAGATCCTGCAAAGACATGGGCAAAAAGCTAGAAACGCTGCACCTGGCGGGAAAAAATGATCAATCCCCCTCGACCATGATATACAGCGGCGAACCTATCGACCACGTAAAACATAGCCACAGGAACCCCAGGGATATATATACACATGTTGTACACAACCAGTTTGTTGAAGTGCGCTACGATAACTTCTGGAGAGCTGGAGAGAGAGAGGGGGGTCAAATGCTCTTTCCTTCAGCGGTCTGCCTCGTGGGGGATTGCCTCGGGCCAGCTCTTCACCAGCTTTTGTCTCGCTTCTTGGGATTTCTGAAAGACTGATGCCCAGGTGACGTACAACGTATGAAACCCTTGTCCTTTTTCTTTGTATCGGTCATCAGCCACCGCCATAGTATTATGTAGACTGGGAATGAGTTGGCGGGGCAAGAATGAAGTCAACAATAAGGTCGACCCCACGTTGACCCGAATTAATAGTTTCATAAATCGGGGCGTCCCATTGTCTAGGCAAACCCTCACTTGGGGAAACACTTCCCCTTAATCTGCCAGGTGTATCAAATTTAGCTGGCATGAACATACCGGATTCTGAATGTCAGGATCACCTTCCTTAGCGAATAGATTCTGGAACGTATCCTGTGTCCGGGAACAACACATGAGTCTGTTTGAGTCGGCCAAGTCCTGGAAGCTAGAAAGTATGCGTTTCGGATTTCCAGTATACCTGCCCAGGTTTTAACCATCGGGTTGCATCCCACGTCGTTCCCCTCTGGCAAGGGATTCGAAATGGGCCACAAAGGGGATCGTGGAACAGTTCCATAGCCGATCATTGTTTGATCCTGATCAATTGCTCAGAACAACTGCAAATTTCAAAGCGAAAACAAGTCAAGAGAGAAAGATAGAGCGACAGAGACAGAGAAAGAGAGAGAGAGAGAGAACCGGAGAGAATCGTTTGTAAGCAGCAGACAATGTGAAGAGCTCAATGAGCTGAAAGAAAGGCTTTTCTGGCTGGTTCTCAGAAGGGAATGAGCCCTACAAACCATCCTGAAGTTAGTTTCCTTTCAGGGAATCCCCAGATCAGGTGCATTCCCAGCAGTCTCGCTCATTACCTGCCTATCGAACAATGTTTTACGACTGAAAAGAAACAACCACAGTGGCGTTCATTGTCAACAAAAGGTGCGAGCCACCTGCCAGTTTTCGGAACCCTTTGGGGTTTGGGGCAACAACACGGTGGTGTTTGTCAAACAATGCGAGCCACCTGCGAGTTCTCGGTGTCCTTTCGCGTTTTGGTGGAGCGCACTTGGGATCGAAAGCGACATGAGCTGTCAGGAAGCCCACCACGACCAGCACGTGCCTTGGCGAAGTGGACGCAACGTGGATGCGTCGTTTTCTAGGAGACTCCCCCCCCACGCAAAAAAGAAGGAAGAAGACACCTAGTAGCGGAGGGTTTCCTTTTGGCTCCCTTCAAAACCAGAAAAAGAAAACAGACAAAAAAAACAAGATACCGCTTTTGAACCAATGGATGAATTCATGAGATAGAGTGATCAACTAATGACTAGATATGCCTATATTCATTACCTTAGGTGCTGGCCTGCCATATGCAAAGGAGCTAGTTGTCGACAGGGGAACGGGCAAGCTGTACCGAAAGAATCCACCCCAGACATACATCAATCGAGGTGCGGTTCTTTCAAAGTTCTTTCCCGGAAGGGCCTTCCTTGTGAGCAATGGCACTGAACCAAGCCGGTTTCATGACTTTCAGCGGACTTTGCACATGGGCACCCCATCAGGCCGTTGTCAAGTCCCAAGTTATGAGTACAACCCCAGTGAGAGACGTCCTGTGAAGTAGTTTCATTCGGGGGATTGGGTCAGTTGAGGACCACCACCACCACGCCCTGTCCAGCCAGAAGGCAGGACGCTCCTGACTTCTGGGTGCGGTGCGACTCGCTGACTCGCTACTGACGCAATAGGGGGGAGCCCTCCATGGCTGGCTGACATACCCCTTGTAAACCACGTGCACGGCTGGGTTTTGCCATTGAACTCTCGGTCTGAGCCACAAGGAGAAGTCGAGCAGAACAAAATTAAAAATATATATGGAACAGCCCAACTACTGAACACAACGAGCTGAGAAAAGTTCCCATGAAGCACGTTGGTTGTTTTTCTCGCCCATAGAGCCCGATGTCTTGTGCATCAGGCTGCGCATCATCAACCGCTGCATGGAGGAGCCCATTTGGATTGCCCATGAGGCGCTTGGATTCACGGGAAGTCTCGGAGACTCGTTTTGGAGCCTTGCGAAGGCAAGCAAGCCCTCAAAGCCAAGGGAATACGGAATCGATTCTCAGAAAGCTTCCCTTTTTCGGCGTCCTTTTTGTTTTTCTCTTTTTTTCCGCAGCGAGATGCTAAAGGACCCGATTGGGAGAGTTCAAGCAACTGCTTGTGAGAATCCCCTCATTTGGTTCCCGAATCATACCCTCTTGTTTTTAACCAAGAAGTCCTCCATGCACATGGTTTTTTCAAGAAATCATACTTCCGCGCCTTGCGCGCATCTCGGCGAAAGAACTCGATCCGTGTGCCATGGATCCCAATTGTTCCCGACAGCTGCTTCAACTCGCCGAGTCTCACTGACTCAATGCCAAGCTCCCATGGGTTGGGGGCTCACCTATGTAAATAGTTGGCAAAGTGCCCAGACATCGCAGCGCCGCCTTGGGGCACTTTGTCGCACATCGTCTATTTTTGTTTCAGGACATACTTTCTTTTTCATATTCTGTCAATTTGGTTTTTTGAGGGTACCCTTTTTGGTGTCTTGAAGGGAAGCCCAAAAAAAGCCGTGGCCGATTTTTTTTGGGGGATTTCCCCTCCCAAAACGGCCCATCGGAGTCTCCTCGTACTATGCCCCTGTCGGTGGAGGCGGCTCGGGGGCTCATCGGGCCAAGCCCGCAGCTGCTTGGAGGGGAGGTTTACGCATTCCTTTTGGATGTGGCTGTGGGCGTCAGAACCGTTTTGGGATCCCATTTTGGGGTAGGTGAATTCACCACCCATTTTAGTCTATTTCAGTGGGGATTGGGACTGGGGGTACGGGGTTTTGACCCATGGCCATGTCGAGCCTTTCGGGTGATCTGAACATCGCAGGGTTTTGGTGAGGGGAAGCCTTTTCGATTTGAGGGTGAGTTTCTGTGGCCGGAAGGACGGACTTTGACTCACGGATCACGGAGGGACCGGACGCAGAGGTGAAAATGGGTCTCACGGTCAGGTCTGTTTGGAGGGCTGTTCGTCCCAGGGCACCAAACTACCCACCCCCACCCCCCGCTGCTCGCGGCGGTTGCGGCCGAGTCGAGTGCTGAGGAACCAGCTGATCCTCCCAGACTCTTACTTCGACTACTGCACCCCAGACAAGCTCACAGGCGCCGCGCTTGGCCTTTGCATGTATATATGCATACATATATATATATATATAGATTGCAATGTATACTACATACACCACACATGCATACATATATATATATATATATATATATGGTACAGCGTTGTCAGCCCCCCCCCCCCTCCCTTTCAATGGTCATGGGTCAGACAAGTACCCCCCCCCTGTGGTTGTGGTCCTGGTCCTGTGGTTGGGTTGTGGTGGTTTTGGGTTGGTTTAGAACTGGTTTAGGGTATATTTAGGGTGTATTTAGGGTTAGTTTAGGGTTGGTTTATGTTGATTTAGGGTTGGTTTAGGGTTGGTTTAGGTTTAGAGGTGTACGGTTTAGGGTTGAGTTTGGTTTAGGGTGTATTTAGGGTTGGTTTAGGGTTGGCTTAGGTTTAGGGTTTATTGTTTAGGGATTGGTTTAGGGTGTATTTGGGGTTAGTTTAGGGTTGGTTTAGGGTTGATTTAGGGTTCGTTTAGGTTTAGAGGTCTACGGTTTAGGGTTTGGTTTAGGGTGTAAATAGGGTGTATTTAGGGTTAGTTTAGGGTTGGTTTATGGTTGGTTGCGGGTTGGCTTGTCCTGCGGGTGGGGGTGCCGGGGTGTCGGGGTGCGAGTTCAGGGGGTCGGGGTGGGGTGGGACCGTAGGTGCCAGGATCCGGGGGCTCGGGGTCTCGGGCCGGGGGGCGAGGGGGGGGTCCTGGGGGACCCATACCATATGGGGGGGGGGTAGTAACACGGAACACGGGACCATATATATATATATATGTCAAGAGAACGATCTCTGTCCTTAACTTGTATTGCTCGGCATCCATCTATCTCTTCGCGAGTTGCTTGCTGGTTCGTAAAGGGCGGTGCGAGCTCACGTCTTCGGGCTTCGTGGAATCCGAACTTCGGAGCCCAGGAGAACTCATGCTGCGGGGTCGCCCAACTTTTTTTCTTTTTTCCCAGGTTCTGAGTTCGCCCAACTTTTTTCCCCACCTTTTTAGTACCTTGGGCCCGGTGTGGTTGCAGGTATTGCAGGTTTTAGTATGGCAATTCGTCACACGTTCTGAGCAATAGGAGCAAGATGTCTACGCTTCGTCCAGTCGCGACTTTAGGGCCCCCCAATCCTGAGCTGCCCAATTGGTCACTCACCGGCATCGGGGGCCATCAGCTCATCAGAACAGGGCGCGATGTGAAGCACCTGCCCCGGCCACTCCCGAATTCTCCTGGCCTTCCCGGTCGACCGATTTTTTGGTTTTCCCCTCTCGGGGGCGGCGCTTAGCGCCGAGTCACTGAGTCGCCGAGGCACGCGTTACTGGCCAAAGATGCTGTGTAACGATCAGGGCGTGAACTGTTTGCTGGGCAGCAGTGGCGGCCCTGGTGAGGGATGCAGCAGCTTGGCTGATGCATCGGCCCTGGCAGGGAGGTCCATGTTGGTTCCGGGAGTATCTGGTGGTGGTTCAAGGGTCAGCGCAATTGATCTGTTTGCATTAATGGGCACCCCCGGATGAATTCACCTAGTTTGATTCATAGTCGGGGTGTCTCCTTTTTAGTGGAGATTGTTCACTTTTGGGGGGGAATACTCCCCATTAATAGGACGGGCTTACTTATCCAGGGCCAACATGCACACCATGCTCCTTGAAAGAAACCTGGAAGTGGACGGCCGTCCCCACAAAATCCATGCTTATTCGGATAACGGGCTCAGTTCTGGACTCTGGACTTCATACTCAATGAGGGGACACACAATGTTTGGTATATGAGAATACTTGACGATTCGACATGTTCTTCAGAACATGTTTGTTTGGTTGGTTGTTTCGGCACCCTTTGCAGTGCAGAGCTTGTGTGCAAGCGGTTTGCTGCGAGTAGGCATGACTGTCCACCTTCTCAAAAGCCCAGCAGCAGACCATATCTTTGCAAATGGACGTCAGCCATCCCGAAAATATGTTTCAGGCCGTGGACTCCCCCACCCCTGCCCCCGCCCCCCACCCCCCCGGTGGGGGGTGGGGGGGGGGGTTGGTTGGGTGGGTGGTTTGGGTTTGTTTAGGGTTGGTTTGCAGTGGGTATAGGTTGTTTTAGGGTTGGCTTGGGGTTGGTTTCGGGTTGGTTTAGGGCGGGTTTAGGGTGGTTTAGGGTTGGCTTAGGACTGGGCTTAGGGTTGGTTTAGGGTGGGTATAGGGTTAGTTTAGTGTTGGTTAAGGGTTTGTTAAGGGTTGGTTTACAGTGGGTTTAGGGTGGGCTTCGGGTTGGCGTAGGGGTTTTTTGAGGTTGATTTAGAGTTGGTTTAGGGTTCGGGTTAAGTGTTAGGGGTGTAGTATTGGTTCAGGGTTTGGGTTTGGGGTCGGTTGTGGGATGCAAGGGTGCAAGTTCAGGGGCTCGACGGGGCTTGGGGTTGGGTGGGGGGGGGGAACCCTACCCTGGGGGGGGGGGGCATGGTAAGCGTCTCATCACATGATTGGTCTACGTCTGTATTTCGATGAGCCTAGTTGTTATCGTTCTGTGAGTTCATAAATGAGATACTGAAGGGGTGAGGCCTGTTGAGTCGCTAGTTTGCATTGTCTTTTGGAAGCGCTGGCCCCAAAAGCATGCCTCGCCCAAACGGGTGTGTCTTTTTTCGGGGTGCCCCTTTTTCAATCTGCGGCTTTAACCTGAAGCCACAAGGGAAAAAACCGGAACACCGAGGCCCATTTTTGTAAGGGGTCCCCGCAGCCGCGCAAGGAAAACGGAGCACTGAAGCCCATTTTTTTTGGGGGGCTCGGAAAAAGCCACAAAACAAAAAACAAAAACGCCGCCCACAAACATCCACAGAGAGGAAAACCTCTGGGGCCAGCCCGCGCCGCCCAACAAATTCCAGACACAAAAACCTCTCGTGAGGCGCTCGGCTCTGATCCGAGGCAGCGGCGGGCAATACGACCGCTGTGCGCCGCCCCTGGACACCAAGTTCGAGGCCACCTTCGGGCGCCGAGGCGATTTTGGGACGATCTGGGCGATCCGGCTCGGGTGCGAAGCTTCGTTCCGGGTTGATAGGGACACTTCCCAGCAGAACTTGGGATCCTTCTTTTCAGGGGTGTTTTATGAAGTTTCTTTTGGAGCTTTCAGGAATTCTTTCCTTTCTTCCATTCTTGCCTGAAGATTCTTTCCTAAATTCCATTTTTCCATTTGATCTTTTCCGGAAGCGGCATCAAACAACCGGGGAAACACGGGCGAGGCTGGGCTTGGGGCTTCGGAAAAAGATGTGCTCGAAGATCATACCCAGTGACACGCGGCAGACGGCAGACTGCATGTGAGCGTTTTCGACAGAGGCCATGGTTTGACATTGGATCATTGCTAGCGTTTGACATGGCAGCGAGATTGGATCACTGCTTCGAGAAGCTGTTGTAGGCAACAGAGCACAGATTTCGACGCATCCGGGGGCAATGGGGGGGTCTCTAAGATTAGCTCCAAGCGCGACTTTTTATGCCCTGGGGCAGGTTACTTCCAACATAGACCACTAGTGGGCATGAGTCCATTTTTTGGCAACTTTGCGAGACAGTGCAATAGAATATTCTGCTTGCAGGACATCAGAAAGTCTTCGTCCAGTGGTGGGGCCGGGGTGGGGGTTGAACTCCAGAAAGAGGAACATGATTTGCACTATTTCATTAAGACAACGACACAAGTAATGCTCCATCATCATCATCATCATCATCATCATCATCATCATCATCATCATCATCATCATCATCATCGTCATCGTCATCGTCATCGTCATTGTCATCGTCATCGTCATCGTCGTCATCGTCATCGTCATCGTCATCGTCATCATCATCATCGTCATCATCGTCATCACTGGATAGCAGAGGGGACTCCGAAAAGTGACCCATGGCGTTTCGGGGCACGAGCTGGACAGGCGCGCCCTGTAGTGGGCTGTCGTCGGTGGACTGCGACTTCATCGATGTCAGCCTCGCTGCTTGACGCACAGCGGGGCGCATATCAGAATAGGGATCCTGGTGTGTGGTTCGGCTTCCTTTTTGAAACACAAGCGCTGGAATGTCAAGTTTTCATCTTCCCTGCTGGCCAGTGCCAGTTGCTCTGGTTAGATGAAGCTCCGTGGATCAAGCACATACTTGTTCAATTTTGCATGTAAAAGAGGTTCTCCTCGTTTTTGTGCATCACTTGTGGTGATCCGATGCACCTACCGCGCACCAGAACCTTCTGATTCCTTTGCAGCCTCTGTGTATATACGAAACGGCGCCGCATAAACCCAGCGGAAGTCCCTTGCCTTGCAGCGGGACGTCGCAGGTGCCGAAGAGTTGTAAGGATGATCAATTCCAATTGGCACATCTCGAAGCGTCGAACGCTGAAAGGTTTTCTTGCTGGACGCGAGCAGATTGGGTCGCTGTGTCTCAGGGTGCGGTCGCTGCTTTGGTTATCCAAGCCTTCAAGCGGGATTGGCCAATGCACAGTTGTTTCTTGTTGGTTGTTTGGTGATGGTGTGGGCGTTCTGTCAGATCTGACACGGGCACACTGACTCAAAGGGTGCATGAAAGGCGGGCCTTAAGATCGCCTTGGAAATAGAAGGAACAAATCGGTACCAATGCGTAGTTTTCTTGAGATTTACCTCGTCTTGGCTTATGTCACGAGGTTTGGAGGACAGCGCACCTGTGAGTTGTTTTGGCGTTTGTTGCTTCGGCGGTTTTGGACTTTTTCTTCCAGAACACAACATGTTGACTCCATATAAATCAGCCCCTGCTTATTAATAGGGGGAGGGGTGTCCATTTCTGGGTTCAGTGGCTGGAATCAGACCACTTTTTGTTGAGACAGATGCTCGCTTGCCCAAAGCCGACCGGATCTGGCTTTTCAGTTTTTCCGGGTTGGCCCATGTTTAGTGGTGGCCCCAAAAGGTGCTCACCTTTTATTTGTTGGGTCCTTCGGGTAAGTGAGCCCCGTTTGTTCATAGGGGGAGTCCATTTCTGGGTGTAGTAGTTGGAATCAGACCACTTTTGGAGGGGACACCCCCCTGTTAATCAACTTGGGTTGATGAATCAGACCACTTTTGGAGGGGTTACCCACGGATCTTAATAAAATGGTTGGTTGATTTCCACAGGGGTCAACACTACTTGAGGATCAGACGTCTGACCTCATCGGTCTGAGGTGGATGGCTGGACGCTGCCCTTCCGGCTCACCATCCACGGCAAGTGCAGCGGTCCAAACGACCTCCATCCCACCGAGATCGATTGCTCAGGACGGAGAGGGAGCGGTGGGAACTATTCATCAGCGGGTTTTGCTGATTTTGTGGACGGAGGGTTCTGCCTTTCATCCGCGGGATTGCGTCATGATTATGTGGACGGGTGGATTTGCCCAGCTGATCGATTTGCGTGGAGCTACTTTTGCACACGAGCCAACCAGTTAGATTCCAGATTCAACGGAAAGCAGAACGTCAATCGCTCACACGACTTCGAAGATACGGATTCTTTTCCCCAAGAAGAACTCACAGCCTGGCACTGGGCCCAATCAAAAGGCTTCCCTCAAAAAATCCCCATAGGGATGCCCGGTGCTGAAGGACCAAACTCATCCAAAGCAACGGGTCCGGCATTCGCTGCCAGTGATTTGCCGCGACTTTGAGAGCCTGGGATGGGATTCAGGTCTCGCTCCGGCCGCTTTTTTCTTTCGCAGGCCTCACCCTGGACGAGTGCCCGACCAGGGAGTTCATGGGAAAGACCTTTTACGCACCTTGGAGAGAGTAAACGGGTACGAAAAAGATCCTGACGGGCGGGACGTGCCCAAAACCGTTCCAGTCGAGCTCCTCTCCTTCCGATCCGAAAAAAAAAGAAGAAGAAAAAAACCGAGAAAAAAAACGATCCCGAGGACCTGCAGGCGCACTACCGGGGCTACGGCAGCGTGGCCGGGTGCTACAGCCCCTGCCTGAAGCTCACGGATCCCAAGTGGAACAACTCCGCAACAGGCGGAGAGACGTCGCGCGGCGCGTTCTCGCTGTGTTCTCGGCTCGAACGCTCGGCGTGTTCGGGGCGTTCGGTGTTCGGACCAGGTGTTGGGCTCCAAAAAAAGAGCGGGTCAAATGGACAATTTCGGTGCGTGGAAACATGGACCTACCAAGACCTGCGGTTTGTTTGTGCCCCCTCTGGTTTAAAAATTGAGCCACAGGCCTATAGGTCTTTGTCCAGGTGACGTGTGGCTGGTGGTTGCCTGGTTGCTGCCCGGTTGTTGCCTGCCCGGGGAGATGGCCGGCCGGGGAGATGGCTCAGAGATTAGGTTGACTGCATGGTATTTAGTCGAACGTTTTTGCGATTGCACGTTTTGTTCGAAGCTTAAATGTCCTGACGCCTGATGCTTGACGAAGGACAATTGTCCCGTGGCAAGGCCGGCCAGCAAGCCAGCTACTCAGTGTGCCAGACGCCGTCTCTCATTCTTTGCTGGATTCTTTTGCTGAAGTGTCAAAAAACAAATCGGTACCTTTCCGAAACGGGTACCGAGCCACGAAAAGACAAAACGCCAGCCTTGAGTTTCAGCTGGGTGCGTTGTTGGTGGGCATGAATCCCCTGCTAAATGGTGTAAGCCATCGGGTTTTCTCGAACCCCCTGGTGCTCAGTAGGGAATGATCGTTCTGGGTGTTGGGAATGATCCGGTTCTGGGGATTCCCTTAGAGGAAACCATTCCTCGGGGATGGTTTAACCAACCACTCACCAACCCACCCACCCACCCACCCACCCACCCACCCGCCGACCCGCCCCCCCACCCACCCACCCACCCACCCACCCACCCACCCACCCACCCACCCACCCACCAACCAACCAACCAACCAACCAACCAACCAACCAACCAACCAACCAACCAACCAACCAACCAACCAACCAACCAACCAACCAACCAACCAACCAACCAACCAACCAACCAACTCTTTTCAGTTTTGGCTTCCTCAGCCAGACGGGCAGGCACCCGCGAGGGCGAGGCGGCGCCCTTCTGCTGCCCCACGCCCCCCATCTCCCCCCAGCAGTGCCGGGAGGGCCCCGTCGCCCAGCGCTTGGGCCGATTTTGGGGGTTTTGGGGGGGTCAAAACATCCACCGGGAAAAGGACCGTTTGGGTGTCTGTCCGATTTCCATCCGGGGTTTGTAACTCATTTTCGGGTTGCCCGGATTTATTTTTCGTGCTGGCTTCTATTTTTCAGGGCAACCCGCCCATTTTGACGGGTAAACATTCGCACCCGAATTTTGACCCACACCCATGTGATGGGTCAGCACCCAAATGGGTTGCCCCCGGTAAACGGAAGCCGGACTAAACCCAAAAGGTTTCCGGTGGTGGAGTTTGGTGTTGACCACCCAGCTGGTGGGGACCTGGAGCGACGTGTTTTGGAGGGTTTCTTGCGAGTGGACAGGACACGGAGCTCAGTCGAAAGCTCCGATTGGCATTGCATGGAGTTTGGCGTGCGTTTGAATCAGATGCCGGCAGATTTTGTACGTTACCTTCTATCAAAAGGCTCGTTCGAGGTTTTTTTCGGGTCTTGATTGGGTTTCTTTGGACCCCGGTAACTGTTCACGACAAGACGCAGACGGCGCAGAGCGCCAAGAGAGCCCGTGCCCTGCTCAAAAAAGACATTCCCAGTATCGTCCTTTGAAGTCAATTTGGTTGAACAGAGACAGTGCTGGTTCCAGTTTTGCATTTGCTGTTAGCCATCTATTCCTCAACTCGGCCGAGGACGGACTACGTGAAGGCAGTGCATCGCTACTGCCCGGGATCCCAAGCGTATGCAGGGAGCCAGCATTTTGGCTACTGGCAGGGGCGCTTCTATTTTGGACAGATCAAGGGTGGCACTAGTTTTTGAAGTGACTCCTGTTTGCGGAGTGCTTGTCCGATTCCTTTGAGCCAAATATTTGCAGGTTTCTTGCAAGAAGCGCGGATGGTGCACTCCAAAGAAGCTGTCGAAGGGATCACCAAGTCCATTTTTCTGGGAAGGCCACTGCAAAGCCAAAGTTTCGGTGCGTCAGCTGTTTCGTTTTCCCGTTGGTGAGGGAAACGAGCATGGGCATGCGTCAAAATAGGGCTTTGGAGCCGCCCATTTTTGTGGTTTCCCTTTGGAACCCCCTTTGAACCCACCTGAAAAGGGTACCAAGACGAGCCTCGACCCCAAACGGTTTGCCGTCGCGAAGCCAAAGGCATGGCCCCAATGTGCAAGGGCAACCCATTTTTGGGCCGCCCAATTGAAAGAGACAGACATTTGCAATTTCGGCGCTTCGCACCAAAACTTTGAAGTTTTCAGTGGCGCCAAGTCGTCGCCCCGCTGTGCGCGGGGTTTCCCTTGGGGTTGACAGGAGAAAGAAAAGACACCTTCTCTCAGGCAAAACCCACAGGACAAAAACCATAGATTTGAACCGCAGGAGGTTTGATCGGCCGTTTCTCTCAGGCCCAGGGGTGTACGCGTACTGCTACGATGACGCCATGGGGCTGCTGCAATGCTCTGCCGACTCCTCCTACGAGCTGGAGTTCTTTTGCTGCTTGGATCTCGATATGAGGCATGCCCTTTTCAGATAAACCACCACAATCCATTTCCAAGTCCCTACTTTGACACATTGTTTTTTTTCCGCAGTCTCTACGGAGAAAACATAAAAAACGCTTGGTCAGATGCCTTTCAGATGAGTCTTGTGCAAGGACTTCCACGAGGATCAACCCCGGATGTACGGACATTCAACGGCGCCGGTTCCTGAATTGCTGAGGCGGTGGCTACCATCGGAATGAAACGAGGTATGTTCCGAGGACCCCACCCTCCCACCAATCAGCAGGAACATGCTCTTCCAGGACCCCGCTGTCCGGTTCCATGTTAGTTGGAGGGAAGATCCGGCAGCTTCTGAGGTCTTGGCTGTTTGACTGAGGCCCCTCCACGATGCCATCCTGGAACTACGTCTGGGTCACCACCACAAAGACCAGTAGCAGTCGCACCTGGACCTCGGTCACCCGAACCACGACTTCGGTAACCTCGGTCACCGCCACCACCACCAGCAAGACGGCTACTCGACAGCCAGGTGAGGTTGGAGCCTTCATATGAAGCAATGCAGCTGTGCTGGGCAAGGAGTGGGTTGAAGCTTCGCGACCAAGTCTATTTGCCTGTATCCCACTTGAACAGGAGCATCCCCTTTGAACGGCTTGGCCAGCTCGACAAGTCAGGTGAGTACCTTCACCAAGACTTCATCCACTGGCACCGCGACGCAAACGACGAGCACCCGCACCACTATGACCGAGCCTTGCCAAAGAGCGCAAAGCCACGCGTTGCGTTTGGAGGGGCCGAAGTCTGAAGAACCCAATGCATGCAAGGGCCGCCTGGGAAAAATGGTGTCTGCTTCGTTTCAGGTTAGCATCATTTAAGGTTAGCTTCATTTAAGGTTAGCTTCATATTCTTTGCAGAGTTTCTCGGCACCTTGTTAAACATCGGTAGCTAGGGACGGATCAAGAAGTCGCTGGCTGACAGGTATTCATGGGGCCTGGGGGGCAGGGAGGGGAGGGGGGAGGGAGCCCACTGCCGCCGCGCCCTTTTCGCGTGTTGTGACGTTAAATAGCTTGAAAATCGGGCGTGGCTAGTAGTGCTGCTGTCACTACTAGCCTGAGCCATATAAAGGGCTCGCTACAAAGCGTCTTCAAAGGGACTCGCAAGTGATACTAGCTCTCCCTCCCTCAGACCCTGCGAGGTATGTTGCATTGGATTTGATCCGCTTGACTGAGGCTATCGAAAGCGACTGGAAGCCCCAATTGAGACTGAAGAGGTTTAGCAGTCGAAGTCTGTTGCATGGCTGGCACATCGTGCGAGCCTGCGAACTGAGGCCACAACCACAACCAACAACGAGGCAGCTTGGCTTTTCACTTGGGAGAAGGGCAGAAGCAGGTCCTTGTCGTATGCAGATGGATCTATTTCTACAATCAACTTGGGAAGTTTGCACAGATAGCTTCCAGCCACAACAAAAAGTGGCAAGATTGGTTTGTTGTGGCGACCGCATCCCAAAGAATGACGAGCTATAGCGTTTGGGCGGGCGCTCTTGAAGGCAGGCAGGTACACACACATGTATTTGTTTCTCTATTTGTCTATCTAGCTATCTATTTGTCTATCTGTCTATCTGTCTATCTATATATCTATCTATCCATCTATCTATCTATCTGTCTGTCTGCCTGCCTGCCTGCCTGGCTGTCTGTCTGTCTGTCTGCCTGTCTGTCGGTCTGTCTGTCTGTCTGTCTGTTTGTCTGGCTGTTTGTCTGGCTGTTTGTCTATCTGTCTGTCTGTCTGCCTGCCTGCCTGCCTGCCTGCCTGCCTGTCTGCCTGCCTGCCTGCCTGCCTGCCTGCCTGCCTGCCTGTCTGTCTGTCTGTCTGTCTGTTTGTCCGGCTGTTTCTCTGGCTGTTTGTCTATCTGTCTGTCTGTCTGCCTGCCTGCCTGCCTGTCTGTCTGTCTGTTTGTCTGTCTGTCTGTTTGTCTGTCTGTCTGTTTGTCCGTCTGTTTGTCCGGCTGTTTGTCTGGCTGTTTGTCTATCTGTCTGTGTGTCTGTCTGCCTGTCCCGTCTGGCTCTCTGCCTCTCTGCCTCTCTGCCTCTCTGCCTCTCTGCCTCTCTGCCTCTCTGCCTCCCGGCCTCTGTGTGTCCCTGCCTCTCTGCCTTTGTGCATCCCTTCCTTTGCCTCTTTGCCTCTCTGCCTCTCTGCCTCTCTGCCTCTCTTTCTCTCTTTCTCTCTTTCTCTCTTTCTCTCTTTCTCTCTTTCTCTCTTTCTCTCTTTCTCTCTTTCTCTCTTTCTCTCTTTCTCTCTTTCTCTCTTTCTCTCTTTCTCTCTTTCTCTCTTTCTCTTTCTTTCTCTTTCTCTTTCTTTCTACCTTTCTCTATCTCTTTCTTCTCTCCTTTCCTGTGGTTCCCTAGTTTCGGACACTTTTCAACACGCGCTCGCCTTCCAGTTCCGAGAATTTTGCTTCTTATCTGGGGGTGCTACGTGTTTCCATCTTCTGCCACACTCATCACCGAGATGGTTTAACGTGTTTCCTTCTAAGTAAATTGCAGAAGCCATCATGGGGAAGAAGACACACAGGCCTCGCCTCAATGGCACCGTTTTCTTGAAGTTTGCCATCTAATAGCGCAGCCCAAGCGCAGCTTTCAGGATATTGCCCTTTCAACACCTGGCGCTATGTCCATCCAAAGTCGAATCGGCTCGCAACGAAGATCATGCAGAAATTCCGTCTTGCTCAAGACGTTTTGGCTGCAACAGCCGTACGTTCCCGTGAGAATCCGGAGAGGCAAAATGCTCAGTCCGGAGCCGGCGACGACCTTCACATGTTGACAGGAACCCAAGGGGGCAGGGGGGGTTGGTTGCACCAAGCCTCGCTTGATGCGATAGGGGCTGGCATCAAACAAAAAGGCCTCTCTGCGATACTAAATCATAGCAGAACTCCCTGGGTAGTTGAAAGTCAAGTCTTAACAATTAAGGCTTAATTAACCCTTATGCCAGATAGTTTCCCTTGTTGTGTGTTTTTCACTGTGGAGTACGGATTGGGATTAGGGATGCTCTCCATGTTGAACGACCCTTCCTGCTTTTGTTGTTCCCGTCCCAGACCACCGCAACTGGCATGGCTGAAGGCGGGGGGGGGTGACAGCTAGCAGGGAGCGCTGCCAAAAATCAGTTGGCAAAATCACCCGACCCTTGGGGCAAAATCATGTTTCGACCCGTTTCTTGACACTGAACTTCTTGACAGATTGCCATGTGATTACGTGCATGTTGCGTCCACAGAGCTTGTGATGCCGCTGCTTGCCCAGCGTTGGTGCAAGTCACGGCTTTCAGCTTTGGCCAATGTCATTTTTGGGTTGCCGCGACTTGAGCAAATGAGTGCGTTTTGAGGCTGTGCGCATTCATTGTGGAGTGGCAGCGGCTGACAACCTGTGCGCTCTTACGCTTGCACAGAAGCATTCTGTGGCGGCACTATCTTGATCTTTCAAACATGTGTGCGTTTGAGTGTGCACGTGCGCTCTTTGAGGGCTGCTGCTGGAGAAAACAGATGTGACTTCGCTTCATCACTCGTACAATTGCTTTGGAGTGGCTGTGGTTCAAATACGTTGGGGTGCACGTAAGCGCGCATGCAATGCTTTTTGGATGGTGACTCAGCACAGGTGCGCTTGAGCGTGTGCATGCTGATTTTGTGGTGGTTGTGAAGCACTAGTCCTGGCACAAGCTGGCGCAAATTGCGTGCAACACACTACTACGATTTGGGGTCGTAGGTAAAAACAGGTTCAGCTATTGTTCTTGGAAAACACAGTCTTCCAGCATATGGGACGAATGCATTTCAGCCACTGGACACGGTATGAATGCTGGCTCACAGAGGAAACAACACAATGAGGGACATGACAGAATGGAGCAGGCGGCAAGAAGGAGCAAGCTGAATACGGCCCTTCTGTGCTTGTTGTCTCGGGATCGTTGCATGGAGTTGCTGAAGCAATCAGCGGCAAAGATAGATACATGCATTTTGCTCAACACAAGGGCGGCCTTGATGCCCTTGGTGCCTGGAAGTGATCTATGAGATCACTAGGATCTACCGAATGCATGTTGCTCTGCAATGAATTCCCAGGAGGTACCCTTCCTCCAACTAACATGGCACCTGTCGGGAGGTACTTGGAAGAGTCATTTCCTTTTGAAGGGAGCCCCTGTGACTTGCCATGTTAGTTGGAGGGAGGGAGCTGCTTTTCAAGAGATCAGCCTGGCATTCAAGAGATCAGCTGTTCACGATGCATGTCAGAGCAGTTTGCGCCCATCCCGCAGGGCAATCACGAGTGGCAGAGGCGCGGGGTGGAGAGCTCGGTGGAGTCGCACCCGAAGAAGGTTCCCGTCACGGTGCTGAACCTTGCAGTTAGTTGTCAATGCCCAAATGTACGAGAACATATGTTCTGGGGCGTCTTTGTGATGGGTCCATCAATCCCTGCCCCACTCAATCACCAAGCGAGGCGGATCCTGTTTGTGCTCGCTCAAGGATTCTAAAAGGTGAGAAAAGTCCTGCAACCAGGGTTGGATGGGGCATCCCATTCAGGGCCACCAGGCAGGATGCACTTGAAAGGAGGTCCTCTACCTTACCCTCATAAAGAGCACATCGAGTCCAGGATTGAAGGGATTGCAACGCTCCTATCAGAAAGGTGTTTGGTTTCAGAAGCTATTTGCGAAGAGGAGCTATGAGGAATCGATTGCCTATCTTGCCTTGCTTTCGACTGAATCCTCAGACATCTCCGCAAGCGTATGGCTTGGGGGGGGGGAAGGGTAATGTAAGCTAACAAAACATCCGCAGCTTTGCAGCTTATGCATGGAGTAAACTTCTCTCCGCTTCATGTGGGCTTGTCTGAGTCTTTGCCTCTCTTTTTTTGCGGTTGACCGTCGTTTGGATGGGTTTTAAGGGGAAAACCACCAGGACGACCGAAGCCATGTTCGGGGTGCCGCTCAAAACAAAGGCAAAGAGCTTCGCAGGCCTTCTACACAGAAGCCGGCGCTGCCTTCGCCGCCGCCGCTGGGCCCGTCACACGAGCGAGGAGTGGGTTGGAGGTTTTGGGGTAGTCCTTGCGCTTTGGCCCTCAGTCGGCAAGGAGACTCTCGGGAAGGCAAGTCGGCTCAACCCGGAGGGATTCGAGTTGAGCCAGGAAGGAGTCGAAATCAAAGCCCAAAGGTCGAGCCAGTGGATTGATTACCTTTGCGGAAGTGCCCCAGTATGCCTTGTTAGGCCACCTTTTGCGGAGGTGAGAATTGTACCAAGCAGAAACCGCGGCTTTTTGCCGAGTTTCCTTGCTCTGTCAAATCTGCCGAGGTGATGGTGTTGGCTGCATGCTGCTGCGTGTGCCGCCGCAGTACAAGCGCAATGGACGACAGGAGCACATGTGCCGCTGGGGCTGCCCACTTACCTTTCTTGGTTTGTTCAAGGCAGCCAAGGTGTTGCGCCCGAGTCTTTTTGTTTTTTTCTTTTGGGGGGAGGGGGCGCGGCTGGTGGATCTACAATACGGCAATGTGTGATAGTGTGTGTGTGTGTGTGTGTGTGTGTGTGTGTGTGTGTGTGTGTGTGTGTGTGTGTGTGTGTGTGTGTGTGTGTGTGTGTGTGCGTGTGTCTCTCTCTCTCTCTCTCTCTCTCTCTCTCTCTCTCTCTCTCTCTCTCTCCGTGTCTGTGTGTGTGTGTGTGTGTGTGTCTGTGTGTCTGTGTGTCTGTGTGTCTGTGTGTCTGTGTGTCTGTGTGTCTGTGTGTCTGTGTGTCTGTGTGTCTGTGTGTCTGTGTGTCTGTGTGTCTGTGTGTCTGTCTGTCTGTGTGTGTGTTTGTTTTCAATGCTGAAGCCGAATTGCATCCGGAGTCCGATGTCTCAAAATTTGGTTCATCGAATTTGCAAACGGGTAAGCAGCATGGATTTGGACCCCTGAAGCAAGACATGAAAGAGAGCGCTCCTCCGTTCATTGGAAGTTTAGCCCGCGTGTGGCAGGTGATGTCATGTGGTTGCATGTCCAGTTGGGCATCCTTGGAACTCCGTTCAAAGACATTCCAAATCTCATGTTAGCCTTCCCAATATTGTACTTACGCGCCCTTTTGGCGGATTGTCCTATGGACAATGCAGTAGCCACTGCACCGGCCATGGAGAACAACCTGTTGGTGTCAGGGGTGAAGAGGGCTTCATGAGGCGAAACGGCGTGTGAGCACAGAAAGATTTGGGTCCTACCCATCCTGAACGGAAAGAAGGCAATGTGAGCCACAAGTTGTGCGCGGATCCCTTGTAAATATACATATAAATAACTAAATGAATAGATGAGTAAAATACACATAAGTAAATAAATCAATCAATAAATGCACGTAATACCTGGGACCAGCCACCTCTGCCAGGAGTCCAACCTCCCAGCAGTTGTTGCCCATGGAGTAGTGAGGACGGGTGCGGATGTTGTCCCATTCTATCCGATCCAAGGGTGCAGCGCATTCAATGCGGTTGCTAGTGAAGGTAGGCAACAGATGACCTAAATGCTGCACTAGCGTGATGCAGTCGCTAAACACTTTTGAAAGCTCCTCCCCATTCCGCATCGTGGATGGACTGAGGTCAAGCCACATCTGTTCTTGTTCAATGATGTGGTTTCGGGCGTTTGGTGACGGGCGACCAAATAGGTGTCAACAAGAGACTTGGGAAAAAAATGTTCAGAGCGGAGATGGGAACGCAATTAGGAATCACTTTTCGATTTCTTTCATGGGAGTCTTTCTTTAGGCCCGCACTTTTGAGATGCCACAGCCTGGCTTCTGAATCCGTGGCCATGATTATTCTGGTCCTTCTGTTTTGCCCGCCTGCACAACTGCACAAGGTGGCAATCTGAAGGTAAAGCTGATTGAAGTGAGAGCGACGCCAGAGAGGCCAAGCGAGACGTTCCAACATCTCAACACCTGGAGGGTCTGTGAGCGGAGTTTGTCGTAGGCATGGAAGTGAAGGGGTCTGTGCAGCCATGGCGCTATGGGATTCCATCAGGCCAGGTGTCCAACAACGATTGGTTTCCTTTTGGTGTCCCTTCCAAATGAACCAAAGGGAGTCTTCAATTTTTGGAAATGCTCTTAGTGTTCCCATGGCGAATCACACACTTAGCCTTTGGAGTCTGCCATGAGTCTCTGAATTTCTCCATGGGAGTAACACATGGCCATCAGAATTCATCGCAGCTTCTTCGCTATGGCTTTGTGAAGAACTGAGGGCCTTTTTTTCATTGGTTTGCACAGGAGAAGCAACTTGGGGCATGGAGACACCCCCACAATATGGCCATGGGTCAAAAGCCAAATCGGTTGGCCCCCAGTTAAAACCATCCCAATCAAACCACTAAAATAGGTTCTAAAATGGCTGGTGAATTCACCTACCCCAAAATGGTACCATTCTTGTCGAGACGCACCCACAATGGCCATTTGACATGCATACCAGGAGCTTCGTGCGCTGAGCGGGGGCCAGGCTCGCGTGCTGATTTTCCCCAGCGCGCGAAGGGTGAAGGGCCCGCTGATTTGCCTCATCTGGCAACGGTCTGTTTGCTGAGCATGGAAGTGGACGGACCGTCTACCAGGGTCCCGTTGATTTCCGTTCTGGGATGCACGGTGCCTGTCATCCTCTCTTCTGGGCTTGGAGGCCTCCCCTATGCGAGAACTACCAGTGGTCAGATGGGCTGGAGGGTCGCCTGTTTTTTCTTCGAGTTCCGAGACATGCCACAGGAACTTACGGCTGAACACGGCCGCGGTCTGAAAACGTGCGTCCTGAGTACAACTTGGTGGCTCACTCATTTGAACGACCGTTTGTCTTCTTTTTCTTTGGCCCCGACTTTTAGCGGTTTATGTTTGGTGGTACTGACATCCCCTATTAGATCTGCGTCCAGGTTGACCATGCACAATACAGATCAAGGGGGCCGTGAGTGCAATATCAACACTGGAAGCCTGATGGCTCCTTTGAATGCCCGTTTCTTCTCTTTTTCTCCATGCTTGTGCAGTTTGCCTCCTAAAGCCCATGACTGAGTGCATGTTTGAAGGCACCGATCCATGCACATTCATTCAAGTTTGGGTTTTTCCTGGCCATTTGAGCTCGGCTCAGCTATTGGAATAGGATTCGGAGGAGTTGACGAGACTCCGCCGGGTCAGCAGAAAGCCACTCTGCACGGTTCTGCCAGGGTCAAGCGCAGAGTGTCAGTTGGGGCTGCGAGGGGTTGCCTTTGCCCATTTGGAGACACCTTGGGAGCAAGCCGTGCAAGCACTTGAGCAATGACCCTGCATTGGCAGCTGTTGTTAGGGAAAAAACATTTTGGCACAGGACGCGGTTTCCAAACCGCCTTCAAGGGCCCCAACTTTGGAGTTCCAAATCCGGTTCCCAGCAGAAACTTCTGTCTACTGCCTCCTGATTCCTCCGCCAGCCTCAGCGCACCCAGCTAAAAGCTGCTAGGGGTGGGCAAAGTCCCTCCGATAAGAACCGCAACGACGGAAGCGTCCAGAAATCTGCGGCAGAGGGCTCGGGGATGCTGTGCTTCTGGTGGAGCAGCATTTGCTCTTACAATGCTGCACTACCAACATACATCATGCTCGCTGAATAGAAAGATGGAAGTGCCATTGTGCCGGAAGTTGCCAATTGGCGTGTGTCGAGGTGAGGAGATTCATGATTTGAGAAGCCTTTGTGAATGTGAGGCCTTTCATTGCGTCCTGCGGGTCTTGGAATGGTTCCCCATGCTTTTGGTTCTGTCTATGGTACGTTACATTGGGCAGATGGAAGTTTGCCACCCGAGTGCTTGAAGCGGGCTTGAGCGAAGGCTTGTACGGTTCCAGGAAGTATTTGTTTTGACTCACATTCGGCTGCGCTTTCACGTGGTGGCCAGGGCTGGACGTGCACAGGCTCCCTTTCCAAGAGGGAAATCGTCTTCCGAAATGGGCACAAGCGCACTTTCACGCTTGCCGGGAGGAGTTCTTCTTTCTTTTCTGCCAAAGAGGGAGGGGGCCTTTTCGAGAAAAACAAACAACAATTGTCGTTTATGGCGGCCGTGGGTCAAACTGAAGAGCATCCTGTGGGGAGTGGGTGGGCTGAAATCAATCTCCAGGCGTTCCTGCCGTAGATCCTCAGTGTCGGTGAGGATCCCAGCGGTTTCCATCATTGAACACTCATTCTTTTAGATTGAAATGCAGACACTGAGAAATCCAATGGCTTTGTTTCTAGCTTGCTTGGGCTGAGGCACTGTTCCCACACGTCCAGGTCCCCCCCAAAACTGCGCCTCATCCCAAAAACTCCCAAAGACTGCGGCTTCCCTGTCCAGGTCCCCCCAAAAAACTGCCAAAAGCTCCCAGTTCCCATGTTCCTGTCCAGGCTTTTCAAAACCTGCGGCTTCCCGAGTTTCTCACAGGTTTGTTGGGCTGTTGAGGCACTCCCACGCCAGGCCCCCCAAAAAGGCTTCGGCTTCATCCCAGGGCCTGGCGTTTTTCCCTGAGCGCAGGTGCTGGCGCCGGGCACGCTGCTGCTGGCCACGGGCCTCCGCCTGCGGCCGGCCGGCGGTTTTGCTCGACATGGCTGCTGTACCCGAAATGGAGTCCGCACAGGTCTGAATGGATCGCCCTTGACTGATAGATCCTGGACTCCGGGAGCAACACGTGGCCGGTCAACATGAATGGGATCCCATTTTGGGGGTTTCGGTGAATCCACCACCCGTTTTAGAACCTATTTTAGTGGGGATTGGGATGGTTTTAACTGGGGTACGGGGTTCTGACAGTTGGCCAAATGATCCCTCTACAGTTGGACCCAGCTACTACAACCATGATGTTCTTGAGGGGTGCTCGGACAACGTAGGACAAACATTCCATGCTCAATTCATGATATCAGAGCCACGTCGTTTTGGAGCGCCAACAGTGAGGGTGCTGAACATCAAGGTCTCTGCTTAAAACATTTGAATCATTGACCACGAGGCACCACAATGCCCTGTTTCAGCCAGATTTCCGGGGCTTCCCTTCCGACTTTCAGATCCAATTTTGGGCCGAGTTCAGGTTGGCGACTGCCGAACGTATCTTGCATCTTGCGGCTCCAAGTCTGGGCTCCAGCCGAAAACCTCCGAACGAGCCGTATCCGTCCTGATCCAGCCATGCTGCGTCTCTGTGCTCTTGGCGCCCTGGGCCTTGCCGCAGGCTGGAGCCTGTCCCTTCGGAGTCTTACATGGGTGTCTTTTTGAGGATTGGATCCCCCCGCGTGGCTCTTTTTGGAATTGGAAAGCCGTGCCATTTTGTGGGTTCCGCTAAAAACCAACAAATCCCTTAGCTGCAAACCCTCTACCAGAGTCAGACCCGTTGCACCAGGCCGCTGCACGCATGCCACTTGCGAGGACGATGCGGAGGCTCGGATGTCCGCTGGCCGCTTTTTCCCGAGGGCTGAAGCGTGTTTTGGAACCGTTTCCCCTGCGAAGGTGAGTCCAGGTCCGCTTTTGCGTTGTCCTTTGAGGAAACGAAAACCACCAAGTGAGCGAATATCTCGGAGGGCAAAAGTGATCAACTGCAATCGCATGTGATTATTCGTGATATGCAGTCTATGCAAGGGTGGGGAATATCACTGGCACATGCTTGAGCTGAGCTAGCAAAACTGCCAGAGGTCGATAGTGGACCCACCTGGCACATGGCATATTTTGCGGCACGACTTCATCTCATCGGCCCTCGCGCACGCAGCAAAACCCGCCATGGGCCATTCTAAAGTCGGCGCCCTTGCCCGGCACCAAATGGTCATAGAGATGCAGGGCTCCTTAAAAAGATACACTTTGCCCATTTGAAACATGGCTTTTTCCACCCAAATAAAGGGAAACCACCATTTACAAGGCAATCTTCAGGTGTATAATGTAAGGATCCCTGATGGTACACAAAAAATGGAGATTCCAATAAACTGCGTCTATGGAGATGTTCCTCATCTGTGGCGTTGCCACTTTGGACACAAAAGCCAGCTTGAACCAAAAGAAGGGGATCTTCCACAATGTCCTGACGCCTGTTGATGACGAACGATGATTAACAAAGCGCAGGCTGAGGGTGCCAGCGTCGTTTCGATACGTTTGCGTCGCCGATTGCCATTGAGATCCACAGATAGACGGAGAGGCTAGGTGGATATATGTGCAGATGAGTAGGACAGGCAGATGGATAGACAGATAGATAGGCAGATAGATAGATGTACAGAGAAATGAACGGATGCGTGAGTAGACGCAGACAAGAATCAATAGGTCAGTAGGCATTTTAAATGGATAGGCAGAAAAGACACACGCATTGCACGCACAGACAGGCATGCACCGGTAGCCTTGGGGCTTGGCGGCTTCCATCAGCTTGGTTGTTTTGCAGTGAAGAGAACGCAGGGCGTTGGGCATGGTCTGCAATCAGGATCCTCTCATTGGGCGTCCGGAAAAAAAAAAAAAAAAAAAACGCATGGCCTTGTCTGAAATCGGACCCTCTCATTTTCATTTTTTGTTTTTCGTATATATATATATACATATATATATACATATATATATATACAACTATATATATATATTTTAAAGGACAACAACACTGCGTTTGTTTTACCCAATGCCCGTGACCGGTTCCGAACGATCGCTCCCCCTACTACTGCCGCCGGCGGTATTGGGCCGCAGGTCCTGCTGCAGGCCCACGCCGCCGTGAACCGAAGCTTCACCGGACGCCTCAAGGATCGTGAGGAGGGGACCGTGGACTGCCGACAGGGGTTGCTGTCTCATTTTTTTGGTCCGGGAGGCTAAAACCCAAACCTAGAAAAAAAAAAAACAGAAACACACTTAAAAACACCAAAGAACGCAAAACAAAAACCTAGCCCATCATCTTTATTTGCTCGTTCGATACAAGCTTTTTGTTTTCGTTTTGATGTTTGGGGTCGGGGAGGCTAAGACCCAAAAACCAAAGAAATACAAAAAGATACACCCATCATCTTCATCTGCTCATTCGAGACCTGGGGTTGGTTAGAATTATCATTTTAAATAGACGTATTCTAATTCAAGTTCTGTTTAAACAAAGATGTGTGATTGGTTTCATTCCTTATCAATGATTGGATTCATTCCTTATCAAATTATGTTCAATCTCTGTCTGGGGAAAGGATCTCCGTCTATTGGGAAAATATCTCCGTCTAGAGCCTAGATGTCAGATGCAATTCGCAGTAGGATTCTGATCAAGTATTTCCTCATTGAGTCTCAATGAAATCCTATTCAAATTCAAACTGAATTTTAAAGAGCGGCTGTTGGTGGAGATGTGAGTTGGGCACAAAAAACGCTACACAACACTGTGTTTTACGGTGTTTCCTGACCATGTAGTGCTGGCGCCAGTAAACAAAAATAACACAATTTCGGGACCTCTGAATTTCTGTCCTTCTCACTTAATAGCTTCATCAAAATCTACTCAAGTTCTGACTGAAATCAAATAGACATTTCTAAGAACAGACTCCAATCAGAATTTCTATGTTAAAGTAGAATTTGAACAATTATTATTATACTTCAAAATCAATGTTACACAGGAACATTCAACATTGTCGGGACCGCCAATTTCTTTCCTTATGAATGATACTTGGTATAGTTCTTTTTT